GCCCCCCTCTCAGAAAATACCCCACTATAGAATGATATGGAATAAAATGCACATTTTATACAAATAAACTAATAAGTGAGGTGAAAATAAGAATAGGAGAAGAGGTGAGGCGTGGACGGTTAACAGCCCCTTGAACATCTAAGTCTTTGGGTTGGAGCTGGAGGAAGAGAGAGCAGGAGTGTGGCTGTAACCTCTTGATTGGCCAAAGTGAAATGAGAAGAGATGACCCTCCCCCACAGTCACCCTCAGTGTGACTACAGGAAGCCCCTTTCTCGTACTGCACAATTTAAAATTGCTTCCCTGGTCATTCCTTAGATCAAGGTCCCTCCCCCAGCCCCCAGTTGTCCTCTGTCATTGGCCGTGGTCCAACTGCAGCTTCCCCAGAGCCCCTTCCTCGGAGTCACTGGCAGAGACACCCCCCTTGTCACGAAGGGGCCTCCACCTTCATCTGGATTAGGCTCTTCCTTGCCTGGAGAGTTGGCTTGAACACGGCCTGTAAGCCTGGTGTCACTGCACACTTGAGAAGTGCAGGCAGAGGGTTCCAAAGTCAAGGTTAGTCTGGATTATATAGTGAGTTCTTGACCAGCCTGGACTACTCCAGAGGAAGGTGAGGGGATGAATGAGCAAATAAACAAACAAGCAAGCCTGCCTGTATGCATGTCGTAGGGCCAGGGCTTGCCCCAAAGTTTGTGAGTCTCAGGACAACAGTAGTCATACAATGAAGGGAACTCATTCACCCGCCAAGCCATCTCTCCCACCAAAAGGAAAAGTGTGAGCATCCTACAGTGCCTCACACTGTTATACCAGCATCTTGCCTTGCATGTGTCCTCTGGATCTCATCCAACGTGTCGGTTAAAGTTCTGGTTTACAGGAAGCACACCGGATAAGGGAAAAATCGGATGACTCATAAGGAAGAGATAAGTTAGAATGAGAACACTGTACAAACAGAGTCTTGACTCTGAAAGGTCGATGTCATAAAAATAAAAACACTCAAATGATCTACCAGGGCTAACAGAAAATAACTGTGCACAACAAACACACACACACCTAGTTTTAGCCTAATTCAAGAAATCAAAGCAGGAGTTGCCAACTGTGACTCAAGCCTGGATATTCCAGAACTAGTGAAGCTGAGACAGGTGGGTTTTGAGTCCAAGGTCTCCTTGGGCTACGTATGAAGACCTTGTGAGAGAGAGGGGGTAGGAGGGAAGATAAAGAGGGGCTGGAGAGATGGTTTAGATGGTTTAGCAGTGAAATCTCTTACTGCTCCTGCAGAGGACCTGGACTCAGCTCCCAGCACCCACATCACAAGGTTCACTATCGCCTGTCACTCTTCTCTTTTTTGGCCTCAACAGGCACCTGTACACAGGTGGCACACACACACACACACACACACACACACACATGAACGAACACACACACACACACACACACACACGTAAAAATAAATCCTAAAGTAAAGAAAGAAGAAGAAAGATCAAAGAAGAAAGCAAGGAAAGGATTTGAGGTAGGGAAGGAGGGAGAATACATTTGGATGTGAACTGGGTATTGGATGACATAGAAGACTTACTCCTAATTCTGTGAGGTGAGACCACCATAACTGTATCACGCTATGAATGAAAATGGAGTGCGCACTGGTTTACTAGGGGCAAAATGTCCAGGAAAAAAAGTTGAAACAAGTATGAAGAATGTTGACTGTTAAATCTTGGAGGTTAAAATAGGAAGACCCTTTGTGCCATTCTTCTGTTTTGTTTGAAATTTTTCAAAAAAATGGTTGAGGAACCAAATCTCCTTTGCTTCTAAGAATTCATTCCCCTCTCCTTCCTTTCTCTTTCCCTCCTCCTCCTCCTGCTTCTCCTCCTGCTTCTCCTGCTTCTCTTCTTCTTCCTGGGTCACAAGTGTATTGCAGGCTGGGTAGCTGATGATCTTGAATTCTGATCTCCCTGCCTCCACCTCCCAAGTACTGGGATTAGGGTGTGAGCCAACACACCTGGTTTTATGTGGTTCTGGTGATGGAACCCAGGGCTTTGTAAAGCAAGGCAAGCACTTTACCAAATGAACCACACCCCCAGCGCCATCCTTTCCTCCCTTTCTTATTTATTTATCTTTACAGTCTAGGGGTGGAACCCAGGCCCTCACTTATGCCAGTGAAGTGCCCTACCACTGAGCTACACTGCCAGCTTACTGCTCTCTTGCTTCCTGCCTTGGCCCCACAGCCTGAGAGCCCTTGGGAGGCCTTGTATCTTGCTCCTGGTACTGAGCTGGGGCTCATGGAGGCCAAGGGTTTGGTTTATTTGCTTTGCCCTGGGTCTCTTTGTCTTACCACACACACAAGGGTTTTGTAACTACTACCAGTGTTTCATGCCAGGCACCAAGAAAGCCATTAGTTTTATTCACTCCCCCAGAGACTTGCTGAGGTGGCCATTAGCATTCCATTGTGTAGATGGGGTTACTGCACCCTGCCTAGTGAGACCTTTAGGAGTGCAGAGTGTACTCGTCCTGGGTCCAGCGGGCTTCAAAGCCTGGCTACTGTGTCCAAACTGCACCTCAACAGTTACGTCTTGATACCTTGGTGGCAACAACCATCTGTAAGTGAGAAGGTGAACCTGTGGGGAGCACAGGCTGTCTCTGGAGCTGAGCAAGTTAGAATAAAGCTGATTTTTGTCCTTTCACCTACTGTGTGGGCAGACACTTGCATTTCAAATGGTTCTTTGCCAAGGGATGGAGACTCAAACCAAAGAGACAGCTAGCTGGGTCTTCATTTCCTATCTTGAGCTACCACAGTGACAGGATGTTGGTCCTCAGTTATCATAGGGACCCCTGAGTTGATAACCACAGGTGCATACTGTTCTCTAGTCCTGCCTTACAACCCTGGCCTTGCCCCGCATGCACCAACCTCTAATTAGGAAAGCACGAGCTCTTACAACTGGGGTTTCTCCACTGTGCTTTAAGTCTGTACATAAGGCTGCTCCCTCCTTGCAATAAAGGCACACACACATTCTCTTAGTCTTTGCAATAAAGGCACATGCATGTATTCTCTTAGCACAAACGGCCGGACGTCTTGTCTTTCATTTCCTGATACATTAGACTTGCTCGTGGCGCAAACACCACAAGTGGAGGCCTCATCGAGACAGGGCCCCACAATAGGTATTAGTCTTATACCCTGGGTTTGTCGTCATGACTACATGGGTCGATCATGGAAAAACCCTTGAGTTTCGTTTAGTGGTATTGGGGTTAGCCGCCAGGCTTTCTGCATGCTAGTTGAGCTATGCCTCCAGCACCGTGGGAAGCCTTCTTAGAGAGTGCCAGGCTTGCAGTGACTGAGTACCTCCTTCCTGGTTTTACAGAATCCAAACATTGTGCAGCCACTCCAGAGGCAGGCTTGCATCCCGTCTCTCCTCTCTCCTCTCCCTCCCTCCAGATTCTCCTCTGGAGCACACCACCAAGCCAGGGGTTCCAGGTTTTTAATTCTACATCCTTCTCCCTTAAAAATGCAAGTGCTGTTTCCCCACAGTGCTCCCTGGCTTTCCTCACCCTCCCTTTTCTTCTTGTCTCTCTCCCTTTCCCTCTGCTCTCTCTCCTCCTGCCTCCTCTTATCCTGTCTTCTGCTCTTACATAGCACAGCACGGAGAAAGCCTGGGCCTCTGGATTTCTTTATTTGTTTTGCGGGGCTGACCTGGAAGTAACTATGTAGCCCAGGCTAGCCTGGAACTTCAGGCAATCCTCCCTCAACTTCTCCAGTGCTGGGATTCCAAGTATGAGGTACCCTGCCTGACCTGGGGTCTCCATTTTTTATCATCCCTTGTTAAGTCTCTCCAGCTGTAAAACAAGGCTTCCTGGCTTATCTGGCTAGGTAAGGGCAGGTCATCTGGGCCCCAACCGGACCTTGACCTCTGCCAGGGGAGCCTCCCCCAACCTTACAAGTGTCCAGCTGCCCACACCCACGCCAAGTGCCAGCTCTGCTTTAGTGGGGAGCAGGGGAGAACAGAGATCCCCTGGTATGGCAGCTGCAGCCTCACTGCCTGGCCAAGTCTGGACCAGGCTGGCTATAATCCAGCTGACTCCATAGCCAGGGACTCTTTTCTAGACGAACTGGTTTTTCCCGCTGGCTGGCAGCCCAAAAGAGAAGCGCAATTCACTGGAGAGGCTCTAGCTGATTGTTCTAGACTCCCAGGATTGTACCCCGTTTTCAGAAAAGCCTGCTGTGAAAGCAGGTTGCGTGCAGTACCCCAAGCCTTGCTGCTAGTTCTTGCCTGGTCTCAGCTTCTAGAAGCTGGAAGTCTCTAGAATATCAGACTCTTCTTTTACAGCAACAGAGCTGCCCTGGTGGGAGGCAGGACATCTCCAGGGCTCTGCATTAGGGTTCAGGGAGAGCCACGAGGCCCATGGCTCTGACAGTAAGTCCGTGGCTGTGCTGTTCTGAGGACTGGCAGGAGGCAGAGCTGGCAGAGGGTAGGGCAAAGGCTAGAAAGGACAAAAAAACAGCTAAGGAGGCCTGAAGGCCCGGATTCCCTCCATGCCCTAGGCAGTCCCTGACTCTGCTGTCTTCTCCTCTGTGGTCCTGATAAGTTTATTCTACACAGTGAAGCGCTGTATGGTTTGGAATGGCCCCTCCCCTCTCCGGGACTCAGCTTCCCCATATGTCCATAGGAGACAGGACTGAATCATTCTTTCAGCAAACTGTTTGCAGGGCTGTGTGCTGAGCTCCGCAGACGCATTGGAGGAAAGGTACTTGGAGGGTCTAAGGAGTGAAGACTGGGGGTTCTGCATCACATGCGCGAAAGACCCCGACTACCCCCAGATAAGGCTTGGCAGATCCGGAATGGCGGGGCCTAGCGTTCTGCATGTCCTTAGCTCTGTGTCCACTTAGTCCAAACCTAGGCTCTCCAGGGAAGGTGGCCCAGTGTGCCCCCGGATTCCCGCCTCGCCGCTCCGGGAGCAGAGCTCCGCGCGCGAATGGTTCCTTGGCAACCTGGGAGGAATCCAACCGCAGCCACAGGCTCTTCCTCTCCCCTCCCACCGCCTCCTACTGCGGGCGCCGGGGGCGGAGGCTGCCAGCCCATTATAAAAAGCAACCGAGATTGGTGGCGGAGGGGACTATTCGGAGCTGCGACTCGGCCTAGCCTTTCAACCCACCGGATTCCTGCACTCCAGCCATGGCTCCCTCGCCGCTCGCGTGGCTGCTGTGCCTGGCCGCGCTCTGCCATCTATGCGCCCTGCTGCAGGGTGAGTGGGTCTCGACCCTGCTTGGGGGAGAAGGGAGGAGTGTGTTGGGGTGCAGATAGCATTTCCCTGGGGGAAGCCCCCCACTAGTCCCAGCCACCCCAGTGGGGCAGGAGCAGACAGCGTGTGTGGGGAGGAGAGTGAGGGCTGGGAGAACCTGAGTAGCCTCCTGTGTGGTGGACTGGTCTAGTTCTTCCTTCTGAGGTTAACTACAACGTGTGTAAGCCCTGGCCCGAGGCAAGAGAAGAGTCAAGACTTTCCTCTAGCCTGATTTTCAAAGCCCCCAGGGGTAGTTAAGGTCAAGGTCACTGCAGTTTATGGATGGGGCTTGTCTGTGTACTGTCGTGCAGCTTGTCACTCCCTCTGTCTGTGTCTCCCCATCATCCTGGCCACCTCCTCCAAACCCAGCTTAGAAATTATTTTATCTCCACGGGCTTGCTTTCTGGACTCCACTTACCTGGCAGTACAAGGTGTGGACATTCCTAGTGACATAGGGAAGGAAACCCAGAGATGGTTAAGGGTCTGTGGGTGCTCAGCCAGCACGCAGCCGTGGAGAGAGTGATGCTGACCGCCCCACCTCAGCTAACCTCTAGAGTTAGCCCCATCCCTGGGAGGACCCGGGCCATTTGGCAGGTGGATGCTCAGAGAAGGTTGCACATCGCCTTAAGGCACACAGTAAAGCTGGGAGTATAAGAACCAACCCCCAGCTTCCAGAATATCTCCACGGAACTAAATCACCAGTGCCACAGGGAGCTGGTGATGAGTGGGTAGGGAGTGGGGGTGGTGAAATAAAATTGTGCCTGGCTTTCTGCTATCTGAGCTCTGGCAGGCAGGCCTGGGATATCTGGGGACAGGGAACAGTGGTAAGTGCTTGCTGTGTGTCCCTGAGCTGGGTCTTGACTTCTCTGGTTTTGGCTGCTGTGCCTGTCAGCGTAGCCATTGCCTTGCTGGTGATAAGGCTCCAGTGTCTAGGGAGGCACTTTGGAACGTGTGTATGGAGGCAGTGGGATATCATTTTCACTAAGCTTGCGGGAAAATCCCAGGCCAGACCGGAAAGGAGACCCTGAATGTTTGAGGTCTGAGGACCCTGATCATGGTTGCTGGCTTTGCTAGGAGATGGTGAACATGACGCAACCCTCAGTTTCTTCTCCCCCCTAAATGAGGCATTCGGCTAGGTCCACCCTGGCGCTCCCCAGCAGGGGGTGGTCTCAGGCTTTAGGGCTGCTGGAGGCAGGTGCATGGCTGGTGCAGGGCTTCTGCGTCAGTCCCCAAATGTGGGTCTGCAGGGCTGTGTCAGGCGATCGCTCAGCGCTTTATGTAACCAACCTGCAAATGCAAGTTAGAGCAGGGAAGACTGCTCCCCAGCACTGACGCATTCACTCCCACTCAAGTCTCAGCAAGAAAGAAAAGAGAAAAATCTGCTTTCTGCTGTTACAGCCTGCTTCCCCCACCCTCAGTGGGGGTGGAGAGGGGTAGGGGCAGACAGCTTCGGTGTCAGGTCCAGGACCCTGTGGGTTTAATTAAATGCTCCCCCACTTCTCTGTTGGTCAAGGTTTTATGTGCCGTAAGCATTTCCCAATGCATCTTGTCCATTCACCTGGTAAACACAAGTAGGACACCTGCTGTGTGACAAGCACATGTCTGGGTGCTGGGACCTTCTTTTGCAGTGAGTTAAGGGGCCAAGGAGCCCAGCTGAAATTTGACTGCAGTACACAAAATAAACCCTAAGCCCTTTGGTCTATTACGAGGAAAGAGCATTGCAACTCGTGTGGTTTGCTTGGTTTTTGTTGTGTTTCTGATACGGGGTCTTCCCATGCAGCCCAGGCAGGCCTCAAACTCATACTCATCCCGTCTCAGCCTCTTGGGAGAGGGCTGGAGTGGGAAATGTGCTGGTCCCAGCCTACCATGTTGACATTATCTATGGGAAGAACGTCAGGGAACGGATGAGCTCTCTCCAGGGTGATGGTCCTTGCAGGTGATATTTGGCAATTTCCAGAGACATTTTTTTATTATTACAGATGTCCCAATATTTTTGGCTCCTGGCATAGAGCCTACAGCATCAGCCTCCACAACAAAGAATGCACAGGCCCCAGATGAGTAAAGGCTCAAGCCCTCTCTGTTAGTGCACCCAGGACCCAGTGTGTCTTCATAGTCCTCAAGGGACAACCTAAAGCACACTTCTTCCAGGAAGCCTATCCCGATTACTCACATTTGAAAGTTATTTCACATTCCTGTAAATCCTAGTGTGTTTGTGCATGACCAGAACGTTTAACCCTTTACTAGGATTAAACCAGCTCTGCCACAAAGTAGACTGTGACTGAACCTCTCAGATCTTCTGCATCTGTAAGAAGAGGGTAGCAATGTGCCCTTTGCAGGGACTGGGGGCAGATAGCACAGGAGCTGATGCACAGTAGGTGCCAGCAGAGAGGTTCTCATTCCCATCATCTAACCTGCCTGTAGATCTGGGGCCCGTCTGAAGAAAGAGACAAGCCCTGTTTACCCCCCTCCATGCCTCACAGCACCCAGCTCAGGACCTGCAAGAGAGAGGAGCCAGCACTTGTCCATGGCCTCAATAAATGGTGATCGCTACAAACAAAATCAGCATCTGCATGAGGAAGCGCTCAGTGTTAAAGACGAGAAGGCTCCTGGCTGTGTATAGACTCAGAAGGAATTCAATGCTGGCTGACTGATGCATGCATGCTTGGATGGGTGGATGCATGGATGCATGGATGCATGGATGACTGGATGACTGGATGACTGGATGACGGGTGAGTGGATTGGTGACAGACAGTAGGTGAAAAGAAACTGATGGGGATGGTGGGACTTTGAAAGAGTGACAGATGGGAGGGTGGGTGAGTTGTGTGGGTGGATGGATGGATGGGGATGAGTAGAAGGTAGTAGCTAGGAGGATGGGGGAAGTAGGAGGGTAGAAAGATGGGTAGGTGGCGGGTGGATGTATAAATGGATGGGTTTGTGGGTGGATATGTCTAAAGGAGGGACAAGTGGACTGAAATATTACTTTATTTTATGAATATTTGCTGAGTACCCATGTTGTGGTCGGTGCAGAGATACATGGTGACAGTGAGACAGACAGTGCCATCCCGGGGTCCCTGACTCATTTGGTGGACAGTAGATGGCCGACTGCACAGAAGCTCTGCCTCCCTTTCTAGAAATGAGAACTTTGTTCTCCCCCAGTCAGTGACATAGCTGTCCTGGTAGGGCCAAGTTCTGATCCCAGCCATGGGGCTCGTACCAGAGGTTGACTTTGTGGCTCTGCACTGCTTTGCAGGTGACAGTGGTCTTCTCTGTCTGGGTTCTTCCCTGTCACACAGCCTCCTTTTCCCCCTCCTGTCGGAGGTCACCCCAGGGCTTTCTCCGGAAGGTATCTGCCAGATCCATGCAGGAGTGGCCACCAAGCTACTGCCACCAGGGACTGGGCAGGGAGGAGGAGTACAGTGAAGTTATTCTTAGGTCCACTGGGGATGGAGGAGGGTTGACAAGTCTGTGCTATAGTGTGTGTGTGTGTGTGTGTGTGTGTGTGTGTGTGTGTGTGTGTGTGTGTGTGCATGTGCAGGCCAGAGGTCAACCTCAGTGGTGTTCCTCAGGAACTATCCACTATCCACCTTGTTTTAGAGAGTCTCTTCCCTGGGATCCGGAGTTCACTGATTCGTCTTTACTGGCTGGCCAATGAGCCCTGTCAATCTACCCATCTCTGCTCCTCCAGTGCTGAGATTACAAGCACACACTACCTTGCCTGGTTTTCTATATGGTTTCTGAGGCATCAAACCAGGTTTTCAAGCTTGTGTGGTAAACACTTTACCTACTGAATCATCTCCCTAGCCCTAAACTGCTACTTTCATGTCCTGGTTCTTGGGGAGAGAGTACAGCACTGTGATTCAACCAAGGAGTTCAGGAGCTACAGTGCTGGCCTTTGATGACCCCGCTCAGACCCACAGCCCAAGCTTCCATTCCCACAATGTGGAGTGGCCCACAGCCCACGGAGCAACGGGGAGGCCAGTTGGTTAGGAAGTCCAGGTGTGCGTTTGCCTTTGGCTAGTTCTTTTTTAGGGGTTGTGCTGAGGACAGCCAGCCTCCTGCATACCAGGCAAGCACTGAATCCCTGAGCTTCACCTCCAGCCTCCCGTGTCATTCTTGGCAAGGTGTGTTTGCACGCCCACATCTGTGTAAGCATTTGTGCACAAGCAGTGTGTTTTGGTGGGGGCTGCAGAGCATCTAGGCTCCCAGGTCCTAAAGACTGAGCCAAATCAGCTTGGCCCCTCCACATTACTTCCTGGAGTCTCGGGTTCTGGGTGCTCGACATGGTCTTCACCCAGATCTAGAACCCGAGCTCCTCTTCATTTTTTTCTCCCCATATTCCATGAGTATACACTGGGTAGACAACAGGACACTCTGCTGGAAATTAAGAACAGTGGTTCTCAACTGGGGGTGGTGACCCTTTTGGGAACTGTCGAATAACCCTTTCACAGGGGTCTCATAAGACCATCTGCCTATCAGATGTTTACATTATGATTCATAACAGTATCAAAATTACAGTTATGAAGTAGCAGTGAAAAGGATTTTACGGTCGGGGGGTCACCACAACATGAGGAACTGTATTAAGGGGTTACGGCGTTAGGAAAGTTGAGAACCACTGATTTAGAAGGGATTGACAGGAATAGAATGCTAAAGAATGCAAAAAGTATCAAATATTTATATCAGATAACTGGGTTTCTCCACTCACAGAAACCCCTGCCCAGGGGCTTTCGCAACGTAGATATTTGGATGGTGCGCCCCATTCTGCCTGCCTTTTCTCCGGAACTTACCTCACTCATTCTGCAGAACACAGGGGCAACCTGCTCATCAGACTCCCTGCCCCCATTTCCAGGCAGGGAAGCTTACCTGTTCCATGTGTGAGGAGCAGGAGGAGGGTGCAGGTGTAGGGTGATGACTAACCGCATGACTTACTGTGCCAAAGACAGGGATGGGCAGGGCAGGTAAGACCACAGGCCAGGGAATGGGACTGAGCAGGCCACTCCCTCACCATGCAGGCTAGGTGACCATAGGCAGGTCTGTGTCTTCCTTATATCCCTCTCCCCTGCTATGACTTCATTTTAAAAAGTAAACCCTTCCTAGCTGGGCACCGTTGGCCCACACCTTTAATCCCAGCACTTGCAAGGCAGAGGCAAGTGGATGTTGGTGAGTTCGAGGTCATCCAGAGCTACATAGAAGGTGTTGTCTTGAAAAACAACAACAAAATTAAATGCCTCCTAGGTGCCAGGCAAAGGGAGCTTAATAGATAAAGGTTTATTTTTACCAGCCCAAAACAACTCCAGAGGCAGACTCCTGATGTCTGGCAGGCTGTCAAGGAGTGTCAGATGTGGGTCAAGGGCTCTGGCTTGGGAGTGCAGCCAGAAGAGGCTGAAATGGGGATGGGACACCAGATGCCCAGGGGTCCTACTGACTGGGGGCCTCTGTGGACTCAGGTCAACACCTCGGCGTGACGAAATGCAACATGACCTGCCACAAGATGACCTCACAAATCCCGGTGACTTTGCTCATCCACTATCGGCCGAACCAGGAATCATGCGGCAGGCGCGCCATTGTGTAGGTATCACTCGGGCCTCAGAAGGCCCTGGGACATCCCAGCCCTCTCCTGCCCGCCTCACCCTGGGCTTCCTGCCAAAGGCAAGTACCCCCGTGTTCCAGGCCCACAAGCTACCTCACTGACCTTAAGATCAGTGGCAAACAGCAGAGGTGAGGAAAGGCTTCCTGGATGGCCCGCAGTGGTCCAGGGGGAGCGCCCAGGATGGCGCTTTCTCTCAGGACGGAGTCCTGTTTACACAGTCCTCAGCCCACTAGAGCCCATGGGAAGGTTGAACGAGGTGGCTTACCGGAGCAGGATCCAGACTCCAGCAAATTAGCCGGGGGCCCTGGTCACTTCTTATCTCTACTCCTTGGTTTCCTTGCCTGAGAGCTGAGTTGCAGGAGGGAGTGAGGAGATGGAGGAACTAAAGTGATTGACCAAGCACTTGGAAGGCTTGAGGATGGCTGTCACCAAGTGACAGAAGAGCAGAACCCTCAGAGTATCTGAGCAGAAACAGGCCCAGTCAGTCATTTTCTACCTGGCCAGTTTGGTCCCTTGTTCTGTCTGGGGCACATGGTGAGTATTGCCCATTTTCTCAGTCCGAGTCTGTTCCCCAGCACTGACGGTGGCCCCCTGAGCAACCTCAGCCATGCAGGAAATGACCAGAGCCCTTTTTAACTCAGGCTCTACTAGCGGAAGCCCAGTGCTTCCTGTCCCCTAGACATCTTCCCTAGGGGTGAGGTTCAAAATGTATTCCTGCCTGCCCTCTCTACTTCTCAACCATGGATTGCTTCTTCCAGACACCCCCAAAGAGTTCCTTCTGTCTTCTAAGGAAATGGACGATGGGAACATGGCAGCCTTGGGCACACTCATCTGTCAACTTCATCTTCCCACCAGTTAAATGGGGTTAGCATGGCAGCTGCAGTGTAGACTGTGTATGGCCTGCAGAGGCTGTAGCATGGAATGGTCATCAGCTCTGAGCTGCTGTTGGGGCGAAGCAGCCGCGCACAGCCTCATGGGAGGCTCTAGACTTAGACCATACTATGCAGCTTTGGCTCTGAAGAGCTGCTTCAGCCTGAGGAGGAAGTTGGGGCTCAGAGGGCAACCATCACCATGGGACAGGGAGCTTATGCACAGGATCATTCCAGAGCGAGGAAACCTGCCTTGTCACATTCCCGGTGTCAGGGAACACCTATGGCATCCCCAGGCATCCCCAGAGAACTATGGAGTCCAGAGCTGCTTGCCTTGATGCTAGTGATGTAGTTATTAACACTAATTATTCCTGAATTTTAGGATGCCATTTCTCTAGGTCGCTTACCCTTTATTTTGCTTAACAATAGCACAGAAGTAGGGTTCCCACTTGCCTGGGACTTTCCTGGTTTTGAGAGGGGAAGTCCCTCAGGCTGAGAATGTCTATTCTGAGGTAGTGGGTTCCCCTCCAGACCACAGGCATTCATGTCTCAGCCAAGGGCTAGGGGACATAGGAGACAGAGTGACCCACACTAGTAAGTCAGCACAGCTGGCCTGCAGGGCATGTGGGCAGTACCCCCCACCACCCCAGCCTGGCTGTCTAGAATCTGGCCTCACCAGCTCCCTGTCTTCCTTATAGCTTGGAGACGAGACAGCACAGACATTTCTGTGCTGACCCAAATGAGAAATGGGTCCAAGACGCCATGAAGTATCTGGACCGCCAGGCTGCTGCCCTGGCTCAGAACAGTGGCAAGTTTGAGAAGTTGGTCAATGTGACATCTGGGATCACCGTGGCCACCAGGGGGCTGTCCCCATCTGTACTGACAGAGCCTGAAGCCACAGTGACTTTGGAGCTGACTACTATTTCCCAGGAGTCCCAGAGGCCTATGGGAGCTTCCCAGGAGGCACCAGCAGCAGCAACTGGGTCATCTCCCTCCACTTCCGAGGCTCAGGATGCAGGTCTTGCCACCGGGCCTCAGACCACTGGGAATTTTGAGAAAGCTGTCATCTCTACCACCACTTGGCAGAGCTCTGCTGCCTACCAGTCTGAATCTAGGCTCCAGCCTGAGGAAAGGGCTACCGAGTCCCCATCCACTACAGCCCCGCCTACCCAGGCACCCACCACTTCCCATTCAACCCCGGAGAATGCTGGGTCTAAAGGTCAGACCCCCAGTCTAGAGACATCTCTAGGGTCTGAGGAGATAAACCAAGCTCATATTGATAATTTGCAGGACAGGGGGGGGCCTGGCAACACGGCCCATCCCTCAGTGGCCCCCATTCTCTCTGAAGGGACCCCCAGCCGGGACCTGGTAGCTTCAGGCAGTTGGCCTCCCAAGGCGGAGGAGCCCATCCACGCTACTGCAGATCCCCAGAGGCTGAGTGTGCTTATCACTCCTGTCCCTGACTCCCAAGCAGCTACCCGGAGGCAGGCAGTGGGGCTGCTGGCCTTCCTGGGCCTACTCTTCTGCCTGGGGGTGGCCATGTTTGCCTACCAGAGCCTCCAGGGCTGTCCCCGCAAAATGGCAGGGGACATGGTAGAAGGCCTCCGCTATGTCCCCCGTAGCTGTGGCAGCAACTCATATGTCCTGGTGCCAGTGTGAGCTCTCTGACTGCTGGTGTGTCCATAGTTTGATTCAGACGGCTGTCTGGGGACCCCCATCCTCATACCCACCTCCACCCGAGCTGGGGCAATGGGAATGGGGAGGCTGGGTCCTCCAGGAGCCGTGTGCTCCGAGCCCCCCGTTGTGGCCCTGGAGGCCACCTTTTACCATTACCCACTTATCAGAGACAGCAGGTGACCTTCCAGCTCACCGATATTTGAGACACTCCTCTGCTGCTGGCTGGTTGGAGGGGCCCTTGACATCCCAACCCTAGCGAGCAATTATTTATTGAGCCCCCAGCCCCTGTGACACCTGTTCCCTGTGAGCACCGTGGTCCGCCCAATCTCACAAGCAGCAGGTCAGGCCATCTGCCTGTGCCCCTGACCTCCCCGTGTCCCCTGGGTTTGCTGCAGTCGCCAGCCCTTCCCCCTCCCTGGCCAGCTGCGGTGCTATCTCTCCTATGTCTCCCTGACCCTGTACAGAGCACACACCACCACCACCACCACCGTCAACGCCCGTGTTGTGTCCTTTTTTGCATGAGGTTAACGCCTTGTTTCCTGGAGCTCTCTGGGAAGGGAGAGGAGCTAGTGAGGGTCTTTGATGGATCCCTCCCCAGACTGCCGTGAAGGCATGCTGCATCTGAAGGCAGGGCCCAGTCCCCACTCGGCTACCTGCACAGCAAGCTGCCCTTCTGGGAAAGAAAAGAAGAGTGGCCCAGAGATGCAGTAGAGATGGCCCTGACATAGTCACTTTCCCTGAGATCCGTGTCCCCATCCCCGGATGCAGCTCCCCGCCCTTATCAACACTGACAGTCACTGCCATCCCGCTGGGCTGACACACCTTTGTGCACCCTGTGACTGCAAGGCTGGCAAGGGGTGACGTGAGGGTTCAGGTCCTACCCTGTGGGCCCCAAGGGGAGGCTGGGTTGGGGACTTGCAAGAACAGAGGCCAACTCAGAAGGCCCCTCTGTGTCCTCACTAGGCACCCCTACCCTGCTCACCAAGGTTACAGCCACGGGTCTGCCCCGCCTGAAGGACACGCCCCGGAAGGAAGGGGAGGCAGAGGAGCCAGGGGAGGCACCTGGAGTGGCCACACAGCTGATTTAAGCCTGGGGCCTTGTACTTGTACTTGCACAGCCCAGATGGTTAGAGGCTGGATCTTCTCTCAACTCTGAAAGCACTGTTCACGCCAAGGTCTCACCTTTGCCCCACTATAGGCAGGGTCAGAACCCTGTGGAAATTTCTGGAAGGGACTTTGCCCTGGGCATAAAGTGACTGCCACAGCCTCCCAGCAGGGGACAGTTGGGTAGTACCCTAGCTGGAGCTGGACCTGCAGACCTCGCCCCTCAGGGCCCCTGGTGGTAGCTCTCCCCACCCTGCTCCTGATAGCCCCAACCCTCCACCTTCAGAGCCTTCGCCCAGTGACTCACTCCTTGACCCGTGGAAGCTCAGAACAGTTGGCTCTGTCCCAGAGTGAGGAAGCCAGCCCCTTGGCGACCCTCCCTCCTGGGAAGCTTGTGGGAGGCTCTGGCCTGGCTCCAGGGTACTCACTGAGGGCTGGAGGAGGAGAAGTTTATCCTGAGTGCACTTTATCCTGGCTCCTTCAGAGGGGAGCCTTCAAGGGTAGGGAAGACCCTTCCCTATTGAGAAAGCTGCTGGGGCATGTGGTCCCCTTGATGGACTTTGTGGGTTCTCCCCAGCAGGATGTGGGCCGAGACGATCTGGGGAGGCCTTTGGAGGGAGTTGCTCAATCCTTTGGCTTTTCCAAGCATCATTATCAATGTCTGTGCCATTTTGTATTTTATTAATAAAATTTAAAAGTCTTGTGAACCAAATAAGGGTGCCTTTTCTCTGGGGCAGACCTGGGTAGGGACAGAAGAGGGGGCAATGGGGTGGGACAGGAGATGGGGGCAATGGGAGGGGGAGGGGACAGGAGCGGGGGCAAATTCTGAGACCCTGTCCTTAGCTCATTTGCACCAGGTGCAGGGACTCTACAGAAGGCATTGCAGATGGGAATAGGGAGTGCTGGGCCGGCTCAGCACTGCCTTGCTGCGGCAAGGTGAGCCAGTGCCTTCTTCTCTCCGGGCCTCTACGCATGCCATGCGGGTGTGGCCGGTCTCTTGATCTGGCAAGACTCAGGATCCCTGTGAGTCCTACTCAGTGTCCCAGGAGCCACCGCCTAGGTACCCCTGATCTTGCTGTCACTGGTCTTGTGTCCACATTTTCCTCTACAGTGTCTACTCATTCCTGGTGAATATAATGATGAGAGACGGACCAGCTCTCCTCAAGAAACCAGGAAGTTCCCTGACATGACCCAAGTGTGAGCTGTTGTGCAGGTTGAGAACAGCACAGGGTGTCAAAGGTCAAGTCCAGCCTATTGGAATCTTAAGATGGACATTTTTTAAAAGCAGGTTCTTCCTCTCTTCATTTTGTATATGTATTTATTATTTTTTGAGTAATACTAAGACCCAGGGCCTGAAGCATGCTAAGCAAGTGCTGTACTCCTGACCTGCACCCTCAGCTCTTTTCCATGTTTTGTTTGGAGACATTGTCTGAATTGCTCAGACTGACCTTGAACTCATTCTGCAGCCCAGGCAGGTCTTACAAATCCTCCTGCTCCAACCTCTTGAGAAGCTAAGCTTACAGATTCTGTAATTATTAAATATTGATGTTATTAAATATCAGAACATCGTTCTATCAATAGCATCTTAGATTCAGATGTCTGTATCAGAATCTTAACATTAGAGGCAACATGGGACTGGAGAGGTAGAGAAGCAATTGCGAGTGCTTGCTGCTCTTGCAGAAGGCACAGGTTTGGTTCCCAGCATTCACATCAAGCAGCTCACAGGGGATCTGATGCTCTCTTCTGACCGCCACAGGTACCTAGCATGCACATGCAGACACGCCCACACACGTAAAGTGAAAATAAGTTATTCTTCCAAAATAAAATTGGAGACAGCATTTGGAACCAGGGAGTTAGCCACATACATTCGTCTTTCTATATCCTCTCAGTGGCTGCAAAAGATGCAACCCCATGGCCTGTGTCCCCTCAGGGTGACAGGTGGGGGTTGCAAGAGGGCGTAGAGCCTTTGTAACTCAGGCTCCAGGCTCACGGGGCTCCAGTAGTCTCCATTTGTCACCATCGTCCTCCTGGCTTTCCTATGGTAAGATTATTTTTCTTGGTGCTCCTGTTTCTACCAAAAACGCATCAACGAAAGGCAGACCATGACTTCAATTCCCTCACTTCTGGGGCCCCCTCACCCCAGGGTTTCTTACTCATTTGCACTAGGAGCAGCAGGGACTTGCAGCTCCTGAAGGGTAGGTGCTGCCTCCCTACCTCCATGCAAGCCGCAGCCAGCCCTCCCTCTGTGGTGGGAGCGCTTCAGATCTGCATCCTACTGACCTGATTCCCACATCCAAGAAGGAACTGCTGCAGCCTGTTGGCCCGGCTCTCCCCATCCTGCAGGACATGGAGACAGGCTTTCGGCTGGCATTGCTGGAGGTGTGAGCAACATCCTACGAAAGTTCAGGAAGAGGAAGGGAGTGGGGAAACCTGGATCCCGGTTCAGGGCTCCCCAGGGACCTTGCAGAACTGTGGCCTCTCGTTTTCTCTTCCACTTAGCAAGCTAGACTTAGCCAAAGCAATTCCTACCACCAATGTTGAGTTTGAAAGGGCAGTCAGTCACTCTGAAACCCCATGCAATCATGCTGATAGCAGTCATTTTTTTCTTCATGGTTTCCACATGCCAGGCTGTGCGGCAAACTCTTCCAGCAGTGAGCTTTACCGTGCAGGTCAAGTTTGCCAAGGATATGTGAACTTGGGCCGAGGGTGGAGCTCAGTGGTGGAGCAACTAGTCTATCCCCAGGGCAAGACATGGAGATTCGTGACTTGCTCCAGTCCACAGGTCCTGCAGAGCTGGCACGTGACCAAGCCTTTCTCCAGATTTCAAATCCTAGGGAATGTGTCGTTAGGCTTTGAGGGTTTTCATTTTGGCTTGTGAGACCAGCTCACCCTGTGTGGCCCAGGCTGACTTTGATGCTCTCTCCCCTCATCTCTCTATACTTACACTGCAAGGAGTCCAACAGGCATAGAGGAGCAGAGCTACCTGCCGAACAAAGCCTAGACAATCTATCCTCCCACATCACCCCTCCAAGTTCATGGATGTGTGCCACCACGCCCAACGAAGCCCCGTTTCTGCAAGCACGAGCCCCGAATTGTTAAGTGTGCAGAGCTCTGGGCCCCCTGAGACCTCTTGCACACAGCCCCTAGGAGTGCGGGCCTGAACTCTCACCAAGCTGCAGCCTGTGTTCCTCTCCCATTGCCTCCACCTTACATGTAGACGTTGCTGTGTGGCCAGAGCGTAGAGCCGCTGCAGCAGGTGTACCCCTCCCTGAGGGGCGTGCACCCCTCCCCGCGGGGCGTCAGGGGCCCTGGCAGTAGCCAGCCTCAGCCTTTTGCCCTTAGATTCCCTTCCATCTGTGGCTCCGGTGTACATTCCCCAGAAGGGCGAGGCCAGACAGAAAAACACACAGATGAATGGCTGGGAATTCCCAGCTTTGTACTGAATAAAACATGTTTTGGAGAGAGAGAGAGAGAGAGAGAGAGAGAGAGAGAGAGAGAGAGAGAGAGAGAGAGAGTATGTGTGTGTGTGTGAATGTGTGTGACAGTGAGTGTGTACAAGTGTGTGAAATGTGTGTGAGTGTGTATGTGTGTGTGAATGTGTATGTGAATGTGTATGTGTGTTAGTGTGTGTGCAAACACGTGCATGTAGAGTATATATGTTCAAGTGTGGTATGAGCATGTATACAGCTGCTTTGAGTGATAGGGAGAACTCAGGGGCCTCAAGAGTCCATGCACACCCTAGACTGATGACTGGGAGGACAGCATGGAACTGATCCAGACCCCCTGAATATGGGTGTCAGTGAGGAGCCTTAGGCAATCTATGGAGCCGTGGGTAGTATTTGTCCCTGGCATACAAATGGACTTTGGCTGCCCATCCATATGGAAGGATACTCTCTCAGCCTGGACTCTTGGGGGAAGGCCTAGGCCCTGCCGTGGATGACATGACAGACTCTGGAGATCACCCATGGAGGGCCTCACCCTCCCTGCGGATCAGAGTGGAGATTGGGAGGGGTACTGGGGAGCCTGGGGAGCAGAGGAGGAGGGGAGGGAGAGGGAGCTTGGATTGACATATGAAGCAAGCTTGTTTCTATTTTAAATTTTAAAAATGAAAGAAAAAAAGAAGAAGAGTTCATGTACAAGTGCTCAGTAAGCAATGTCTCAACTCCAAGGGCTTGAAAACCAAGTTCCAAGCTGGCTTGCCTGAACCAACAGCCAAGTTCAGCGTCTAGGACCTCAGAGGGACCTCTGTAATGTCAACACATTGGCAGTGTCGCCTCCACAGCCAGGAGAACTCCAGAGCAGATGTCCTTCCTTAAGCTCCAGGGGACTCTGCTGCCCTAGGGGGCAGAACAGAACTGTTCAAGATGAGTGCCTTTTCTCTAGCAATACAGGGACACAACATGGGACTTGCTGGCTGTGTGACTTTGACCAAGTTACTTACCCTCCCTGGATCTTGTTTTTCTCCTATATAAAAGAATAATAACTAATCTCCGAGTAAAGAAGTCATGACGTAATCCTCACCAAACATTAAAGAAAAGTGATGTGTCCCAGTGGATTTGCACAACCGATGATCCATGTTTCCAAATGGTTTGGCACCCCCACCACACACACACACACACACACACACACACACACACACACACACACACACACACACTTTAAGACATGATCTTGGGGGCTGACTAGACGGCTCAGAGGTTAAAATCACTCCCTGTTCTCCCTCCCACAGCAGGCAGCTCAGAACTGCTTGTAACAATAGTTCTAGGAGATCCAATACCCTCTTCTGGCTTCCAGAGTCACCATATCATGTACACATACTCTCACACAGACTTCCACATAACACATAAATAATGGAAAAAGACAAGATCTCACATAGGCCAGACAGGCCTCAAACTCATCATATAGGTGATTATGAATTCCTAATCTTCCTGCCTCTTCCTCCCCAAGTGCTGGGATTGCCACCATGCCTAATTGGGTGGGGTGACGGGGGTAGGGCTGGATATCACATGCTGCCCAGGCTGACCTCAAACTATTGGGTGCAGGATTCTCTCAACCTCAGCTTCCCAGTTATCTGGGACTACACGGTATTACTGAGCATTCAAATAAGAGCATAGACCCACAGGTGACCATAAATAAATACCGTCTTCCCGGTCTTCAGTAAAGTAAAGAAATATATCTGGTGTCAGAGTTCCCTTGTGCTTGTAATCCCATCACTAGAGAGGCAGAGGCAGGAGGATTGCTGAGAGTTCAAAGCCAGTCGGGGCCATAGTGTAAGACCTGTTTCAAAAAAAGGAAGAAGAGGAGGAAAAGGAGAGGAGAGGGAGGGGAGACAGAAGAAAAAGGACATTATGGTATTATTAAGCAAATAAGAATAGTCTGTAGTTTGCGGGTGGAGAGACGGCTCAGTGGTTAGGAGCGCTGGCTGTTCTTCCAGAGGACCTTGGTTCAGTTCCCAGCACGCACATGGCAGCTCATAAGCATCTCTAACTCCATCCCAGATTCTCAAGGAATCTGACGCCATCTTCTGGCCTCCTCGGGCACTACAGGCACATGGATACACATCCATAAACATAAAACAAAAATGCATACATGTAAAAAAAATGGTGCTATTTCCCCCTAAGCTGTTTCTTGCTATTTAAGTTGATAGGGATTTTCTCTATTGTTTTGGACTTTAAAGTAAAATTATTGAATCACAAATGACTCAAACCAGAC